TGCCGCGCCGCCGGCTTTTGTCAGCGCCGCGCTGGGCGCGGTGCTCGGGGGTCCGCCGGCGCCCCGGTTCCGCTCTTCGGCCGGGGAGCGGTCCCGCTCCGCCCGCATGCGGAGGGCGGGAAGGAGGGTTTCTCAGCCGCGGAGGGGGGGAATCCGGCGCGGAGCCGGTTCCTGCCGACCGGAAGCGCCGGGCGGTTTCCTGCCGGTGCCTCGCCGCTGACCCGCGGCGGAGCGAGGTCTGGTGGGGTGCCGGAGAGCCCGCCGTGTCGCACCGGGGGCGGCTGGTTCCCGTGCGCTACCGCTGCTGCTGCTCTGGTCACTCTTGTGGCCTCCCCGGTTCGTCCCGTGTGTCCCCCCCCCAGCTCTCGGCGGAGCTGGTGGTCGCGGTAGCGGCTGCTCCGGCAACGGAACAACAAGTTGGTTGTGGGTTTGCCTCGTGCGAGTGAGTGAATTCGGGAAAAAAAAAATCAAATCGAGTGTGTTGGAGCCACCAAATCAGCGTAGGACTAGAGCATGAGGCGCTTGCTTGGCCAGCTTTGGCATCCGTCTTCTCCGTTGTCATCCTTCCACCCATCTCTGATGGGATTTCGAGATCTCAAGGGAAGAGTTTGGGGCCTGGTTTTTCCGAGGGGCCGAAGGGAGCCCTGGGAATGCCTTCTGGAAGGTGCTGCGGGGCGCTTGAAATAATAAAGTTGTAAAAGCAGATTTGCAGAACAAACCACGTTGTTATTCTCGCCTTGCCTTTCGTGGTGCCTCTTAAATCTTCCTGAGAAAGTTTTAAAATGAAATATACCAAAAAATCCAAAGTAAAATTGTAGTCTGTTCCAATTTAGCAGCCTGTGAATATTCAGCAAACCATCTGAGTTACGACCAGTTCTCTCAAAGACAATGGGATTTAGACACAGTCTCGAGTGTTTTAGCAAACTAGCAGAGCTGTAAATATAGGCTCTTTTTTGTCTTTATGTTCTTTCTGGAAGTGACACAGACATATTTTACCTGAGGAAACCTAGGAAGCATGTGTTCCACTTGTATATTTAGCTTTATGTGTCTAATGTTGATACAGGAAATCTGAAAACTAACTAACTAGAACTTCTAACCTGTGGATATATAGTTTGTGAAGTACCTTTCAATACATTAGAACCAAAAGAACTTTGCAAGGTATTTGATAGTTGCTGAGAACATTTTGGGATAGGAAGTGAAGCAATGCACAGTTATTAACCAGGAGGCATGGCTCAGGCGGAGCGGAGTTTGAATCCTGGCCCACTGGTTGTGTAGAGATACAGCCTGGCGAAGTTTTGAGACTGAGCGAGTCTTAAAATGCAGCGGCAGCTGGCCTGATAGAACTCGGGCAAGGAGCTCTGCAGGTAAATGGTTTGATGCTTGGTGGCCCGTCTTGGCGGAAAAATCATCCCTTTGACCTCTCCTGATCTGGAAACTCGCTTCCAGTCCTGGTATTGGTGAGCATGTTGCTGATTTTTTTGTGTTCAGTAAAAGCAATTAAGTAGTCAACTTGTTACACAGATACCATCTATTTTTACTTTGTTTTTACCTTTTTCGTTCCTTTGTTTTCTATTACCTGTGTTCATTCAGTTAGGGTGGTGAAAGTACACATGTTCGTTTCATTGTTCTAAAATTATTTGTGCTGATTAGCAATACCACAGATCCCTGGGCTTTAAACAGGAGACGTTTAAATAAAACTAGCTTTGTTAATTTCCTTTTTATTTGACTCACCAATATTGTCGAGGTGCTATTCTAAGTCTCATTTTCACTGAAATAATAATGTTCTTTTCAGTAGTGTAATTGTATTCAGAATGGGGTGGTTTGAAAATAAATAGAAGCTTCATTTCCAACTGACATTATGTAAGTTTCATGCCTGGGTGTATTTTACAATAATAAAAATGAACTTAAAGAGAAACTGTTATAAAAACTGAGGAAGCCTAATATTTTTATATGTGCATAAAAACTTACGAAGTCTAATATTTTTATATGTGCATTTCGCTGTCAAGCCAAAAATTTTACTAATGATAGTAGTAGAGCTGTGGAGAAGTTGCACCTCAGGCAAAACAAGATACGTTAGTTTTTGAATTTGGATTGCCGAGTTTTCATTGCTTGTAGCGTGAACACAGTTTGGATCTTAAATACCTTGATATCTGCAGAGCTGGGGAGTTATGAAAGTGCTGTGTGTCTTCAGACCTCTAATGTGAGCTGATTTCTTCAGGATGGGGGAGGACAGCATGGCTCGGGTTCTGTAAAGATTCAGCTGTGATTAAACATATTTATGTAACTGAGCAGGCCCAGAGTGCATGATGTTGCCTGTTCTTAAGTCTTTGCAGGATCTCATTCTCAATTTATATCCTTCTGTAACTTAAGAGTTTTTTTAGCAAAAATTTTTCTCTCTGCAAAAGTTAGCCTGTTTGACAGGATATTGACACCTGCAAAAATAAGTGTAGGGGCTGTATATAGTTAAGGATCCAGATAATTTTGGTTTTTAGGGTCTAGTTCAACATTATTAAAACAAACAGTTCATCTGCTAAGGTTCGTGGTATACGAACGTTGTCTTGGTGGTCACCTGAATTCAAGATGCTCATTAGAAATGGTGGCAGTTACTCTTCAGACAGCGAATACAATAGGCAGAGGTTTGGTGAGACTTGTGCATTCTGTTTGCAGCATTGAAAGCAAAAGGCTTCTGTGAGGAGATCTCTGAGAAAGTCCAGCTTTTATTTGGCCCCAGACAATGCTGAAATTAATTTAAATATGAATAATGAATTTTAGCATGCTGAGAACAAGCTGAGCTTGTGTCTAATTCAATGCAATGTTGAGTTACCAGCCGATTGCAAAACATTGGCGGAACTCATGACTTTGGGACTGGACTACAAGGGGTTGGAAGTGCATTGGTAAATGGACTTGCATGGGGCTTCATGGATAGCTAACTGCTTTTTTACTGAGTTGTACAAACAAGATGTTTGAGTCGAGTTGTTTGAGCATGCCGTTGGGGATCAGGAGCCTTGGCATTGGTTTGGTGCTTTCTCATGGAGTATTTGAGTGAAATGTTTCACTGCCTGTTCTTCTGTTTCCTTCTCTGCTTAGAAAAAAATTGGCCTCAAAACTTGCCTATTAATGTATAAGTTCTTCAAATTAGAAAAAGTTGTTCTTCGTTAAGAAAGGATTGAAGTTAGTTTGGCTGTATCCCAGATTCTTCAGCGCTGATAGTTGTGCCAACAGTAAATCTGTCTGGATGAAATTCTCTAGCAGTGATCTGATACCAGGATAAATATACACATAAATATTGTCTTCGTGTTTATATGCACAAACAAAATTTGATTAAACTTTGTGCTATCTGAGCTCTAAGTCCTGCCCAAGCACCTCAGTTAAAGCAATCTTCCTGTATGGCTTTAGTTTCTGCACATCAAAGATGGGTATGCAGACTTTACAGTCAGGCTTGCCCTTCTTGTCCATCTCTAGCCTCAGAAAAAAGAGATCAATCCACCCTTTTAATGCCTGTGTCAGACAAGTATTTGTGGCTTTTCAGTCATAAAATGGTTAAGTACGTCTCTGTAAAATGAACTGCCTGTGGCCCCAGTGAAACTGGAGTTTGTGGGAGTAGTGATGTCAACACAGGGTTTGATCTAAATAATTCAGTCAAGTACCTTCATGGTAGAAGTACATAAGCCAGTTGGATCGGTTTTTAATTCTGAGATGCTGATGAAAAGAAAGAGCATGGTGTTTAAAGATTGCACTGTCTATAAATTCCTTGTCTGTGCTCTAATTAAAACTATGATCATGTCCTATTTGTGTTATAACATGGTCCAGTTTTGCTTGTGTACCGGATGAAAGCTGTCATGTTCATATCAAATCAATTATGCTGCATCCCTGTACTTGGCATAGCATAGCTATAATTAGCAGGACTGATGAGGTTTTGGCACTGGTTTAGGATGTCAGTATGGTGTGAGAGTTAAGGGTATCAAAATAGACTTTTCTGCATAGTGAAGTAGCTGTTGGGAGAATGGGGCCCTGAGATAAAAGTCCCCTTGTCTCATCCTTGTCTGTATTGCTGTATCACAGTTTGTTTTACAGGTAAACTGTTGGGTGTTTTTACGTAAAAATATCATATGTCAACTGTGTCTTCTAGCCACCAGTTTTTCATGAGATTTTCAGTTATCATTGGGATTTTCTCCTGGCCATCAAATTCAGCTGAAATCAGCCAGCAGATTCAGAAGCTGACAGAGAAAAAAAGCTAGGCTTAAGTAGATAGCAGTGGCACAAAGCATAGTTTCTTTTAGGAACAGAACCGAAATATATGTGAGATGATCAGGTGTGTGCTAACACATTGCTCGGAAGTTGCCAGAACGATTAACTAGCAGGAGGTGCCACCGCTTGACTTGGACGTTGCAGGTTCAGTTCCCGGTTTACTCTGTGACTTGGAGCAAGTGATCTAGTCTGTTTTGTACCTGTGTTTTTTTCATGACAGTTTTGTGTTCAAAGATTCACATAGTTGGGAAAACACACAGGATATTCTTCATAATAATAATATTTACTTGTTAATTCTTTTTCAGTTCATTTTGGAAGTGGATAACTGCTCAGGTTGCAAGAATAACAAGAGGTTAGTGCATTCCTAATTTTATAATGATGTGATTTCCCGCTGTGTGTTGTTATCATGTAAGTGCATCAAAGTCAGGCAGAGCAGGTCGTATCAAATGTTTATTCCCCATCCCACCTGTCTTTGTGCTGTGAGGTGCTCCTTTGTTTCCTCAGTTGTAATTATTACTTTTTTTAATTTTGAAGAAAATGCATTCATTCCCTGTTGGAACAACGCCGAATTTTTGATACTCAGAGTTCCCTGTATTAAGAGATTCTTCTCTATGTAACGATCTTTTTAATGGAAAATGGAGACCTGAACTTCTGTGTTTTCCTCTGACAATTATTAAGTCATGCTGCTAAGTTTCAGTATATTACCATAAAGCAGATACTGTCCCCTAATTGACATGGATGATCTGGGACCAAGAGGTTAAAGTCAGGGTGAAGTTACGGAAGATGGCTGAGCCAGTCTGACTGCTCACTGCTGCCAAAAAGGGAAGGTTTTACTTCTGTCCCCATCATTCCTTACCAGTTATCTTCCCATCTGCTCCCTTTGTTGCTCCAATTCCACTTGCTAACCTTGCAGGAAATTACCTTGTTTTGTTGGTTATGGTTCTGATGATTTTGTTGAATCAGATCAGAGAGGGGTCTGGAAAGCACCAGAGCTGGTGGGTAGTAGGCAATGTGAACACACAGCTGGGGTAGAGAAGGGAAGAGGTAGGTATGAATGGAGTGAGACTGTTCCCTTTTACATTGGTGGGTTGTCAGATTTGTTAAAGTCATCCTGGTGGTGACTTACCCTCAGACTTGAATGAGCTTTGAAGATTGAAGTCTTCCTAAAGCTTGATCTTTTCAGGTTAAGGATAAAGCAGATGGCACAACAGTATGTGGAAGAAGCTTAAAATTAATTGCTGCTGATGTTATACCTGTTATGTGTATTGAGAACTCCTAGAGAATCGTTTTTTTATAAGATATTCAGTTAATCCTATAGTTGTTCCAGAGTCTGTGGATGCTTCTTTAAGTGAAAACTTGAAAATTACTCACTTTGCCTCAGTTGAAACTTTTCGTGCCATTAAGGCCAAAGGTAGCAATTCTGGATTGAGATGTGTTTGAGCTCTTGGCGTAGGAAGCTGAGATTATGTTTTAGGGAAGCAAACTGTATGTTCAGCCCATTCTTTTTCTCTTGCCCAAGTGTCTGCTGTTGCCCCAAAATTGGAGGTGGCCTCATGTGCTGAACAGATCTGAGGTCTTGCATAGCCCCACGTGGCTGGCAGGCTGCTGGCCAGTATGCTGTATCTGCTCCCCAGTGTTTGGTAGATCAGCTCAGATTCCTAGAAGAATCCTAAGAAACATGAAGTCTTCTGAAAAAATATAAGAGATAACGTGTCTTGCACCTGGCAAGGGCTGGGAAAAGGGTGTTTTTGACCAATCAAATCCATCATTTGAATAGCCATAAATAATGCTATGTGCAGTACCTAGCACAATGAGTCCCAGTGTTCAGATGCTGTTGAAATAGAAATTTTTAATCCCAGAATCACAGAATGGCTGAGATTGGAAGGGCCTCTGGAGATCATCTAGTCTAACCCCCTGCTTAAGCAGGATCATCTAGAGCAGGTTGCCAAGGACCATGTCTAGTCAGGTTTTAAATGTCACCAATAATTATCTAACCAAAGAATAATAGTAAAATAAAAATTTTGGATTTCTAGTCATGCATTTGTATGTGATTTTTTTTGTTTTTTTTCCTTTAAGTACCTACTGCAGCTTTGTCTAAACTAGCAGGTTCTGCAACAGATCAGAACGACCAGCTGCTTTGACCTTACAGTCCTTTTGCAAACAGAAAAGTCAATGATTATAGCAGAAGTAACTATTCTTGATCCTGGACTCCTATCTGGGTTCAGCTATGGTGTTTTAACATTGCATTTCCTATCAGAAGTGAACCTTCCTTTGTCCTCTTCTTTGTTCTGCAATAGCAGGTATTAACCTCAGGTATTGTTTTTTTGCTTTCTTTTGCCCCTTACAGTGCTGAGAGCCCAATTTGTAGGAGCCATGGAAGAGTCTTCCCAACCCACTAAATCCCTGGAGATGAACCCTCACTCTCGCTTTATTATTGGCTCTGTGTCAGAGGATAACTCAGAAGATGAGACAAGCTCCTTGGTGAAACTTGATCTGCTAGAGGAGAAAGAGAGGTCTTTGTCGCCTGTATCTGTCTGCTCGGATTCCCTTTCTGATCTAGGACTTTCTAATGCTCAAGATGGCCTGGCAAGCCATATGAGGTAGGGATAAAATAGTACTCAGATTCAGTCTTCGGTCATCTTACCCCATCTATTCCAAAGATAACACAAAGGTTCAACTTTATATCCAGGTTTGGCCTCAAATGTTTTAGTTGTGCCAAGACATCTTCCAGCATTCTGTTTCAAAATGACCTCTTGTATGTTTATCTGTATCAAAACCTTCTGTTTTCTATTGGTTTTAATGAAATATCTGTGCCTAAATTCCTTAAGCACCTTTCAGACATCTCAGTTGTTGAGTGTTGTGGTGGGCTTGCTTATACTGCCTGTCTCTTGTCCCGGCTTTCAGAAAATTGATATGTGCTGACGGAGATCTTCAAAGTTTTCACTTGTGTGTGTTTTAGATGGGCCGTGTTTGTTGAGAACAAGGACGTTATTTGCTTATTTTGTCTTGTATGGAATTTGCTGCTTTATATGTAGCCAAAGAATTGGAAGGACCCCTGGGTAAGATAATAACTCCGTATCACTTGGAATGTTTTTTTGTTTTGGATAGAGAAAATTTTGTTGATAGTTAAAGAAAAGGTTGGTGTCCTGCGGAGTGGTGATAAGCCAAGACTTGCAGCTCAGGAAGATGATGGTCTCACGGCTGGTGGAAGGGCTGCTTCACTCCTAATTCTTTGTGGCTCAAATGAGCTATGAAGTTGGGCTTTTGAGATTGTGGTGTTAATGTTTCCTTGTCAAAAGGCCCCTTTATTTTTATGGTGTTGCTGATTTGCATACCACTAGCGGGATGTGCCCATGGGATTTCTCTGTTGTAGGCTAGGTATCTTATACTTTTCAGTGTGTGTACAGATCATAGTTCCTCGGTGTCTGATCAGTCTTTTTTCACTCTTCTATGTCCCCTTCATTTGTTTCCCACATTCCAAGAGGTCTGGTGCCCAGGCCTGTACACAGGACTGTACGTGAGGCCTTCTCAGTGCTGGGTAGAGTGAGGAGGTATTGTACATGAGGAGCAGCAGTCCATGAACAGTCACCACACTGAATATTGATAAAGTTATCTTTTACTAGGTGTAATATTTGCACTTGTCACTACTGAATTGCAGCAGCTCATTTCAGGTTATTTTCTCACCTCGTCAAATTCCTTTAGAAATAGATTCTTGATTCGGAAGTATTTTCAGTCATTCCTAGTTTGATGGTAAGCTCATAACTGATAAATTAAAAAAGAAAATGTTAACCAGTTTTGGTGTTGGAATGGATCCTTACCAAAGCTTCACTTCTTACATCCTTCCAGTTTAACAGAACAGTTGTTCACCATTGCCTGAATTTCCGAGTACCTTGCAGTTGTTTAACATATACTTGTTCTATTTATGAAAACGTAATTTTGGACAGTGTTAAAAATCTTCCTAACATCCAAATTTACTGCAGCAATTGACAGTCCCCTGTTTGCAAACCTTTTTAGCATGTAAGGAAGGAAATGCATTTTTGTTTAGGAAAGATTTGTCCTTGACATCTTCCAGCTGGATGTAACTTCCTACCTTTTTGTCTGCTAGTTCCTTACAAATAGGTTTGTGACTGTTCTGGTGCCTTTCAGCCACTAGTTCTCCCAGCAGATCCTCCCAGTGGTCAGAACCAAATCTAGAAGAGCTTCCTCTTAAGCTGCTCTTTCTGCCTGCCTTTTTAAAAGGTGTCATCCCATTCCAGGAACATACAGGACAGTCTGAATCCCACTATTGTTTTTACTGAACAATCCCTCACTACCTTTACTTTGTTGCTTTTGAAGACCAGTAGTAGATATTTATATGACCAGCTAATCCTTTTAGCTTGATCTTCTGTTTTGCTGGTTTCTTTGCTTGCACAGATTGAGGATTTTTCATCTGTCCTTTTATTGGTGGTTCCCTTCCCAATTTAGGGAGACATTCTCTGAAAATAAATAGTAGCAGACTCTTTGGGTTAGGGCACAAGGGGGATAGTAGTCCATACTTTACAGAGTTGTTATGGTCATACTGATGGATATGTTTAGCCAGCTGGTGCTAATATAACAGTTACAAAATCTTAAAGCAAATTTAAAGGAGATTACTGTTCCAAAGACTGCCAGCTGTAATACTTTGGCAGCACAAAAGGTAAGTTTGAAGCAGGAAAAGATCTAGCCCTGTAACTATATATATTTTAGGAACAGAAGAAACTGGATGAACACACAACTGTTAGTGTGGAAAAGACAATAGGAGAGCAAGAAAATCAAGCAACTTCTAGGACACTGCCTGGCATCAGAGAGCTAAAATGCAATAGGTGTGCAACCTTGAGCACCTCTGTTGTAACTTGCTTACTTTGGCACTCTCTTTTGAGGGTACTTGACTTTCAGTTAAATTGGAGAGAAATGCCAATTCAAATAAAAAAAGTTACAGCATTATAGGCTGTTTTTCTAAGATAAAGTAAGATGAATTGAAACAGTTTTCAAGGATGGTAGTCTCTTTCATCAAAAGATTTCCAAATAATGTTTACAGATGGAGAAACTGAGACAAAGACAAGTTCAACAACTTGCCTGAAGTCACTCTGTGACAGTGAATTAATGAAACACAGGTATTCTTGCTTCCAGCTTCCTCTTGGTAGTTACAAAGGTACAACACTTTCTGAAGTGACAAAGATAAATTCATGGGGAGTTCTGTACGGTTTGACTAATGGGTCAAACAAGGACCAGGTCCAAGGGAGCATATCTTTTTGAAGAAGTTGCCAAAAATCTTTCCATTTGCCGGTTAGTTTCACACAGGAAATTTTGGTCAGCTAAAGCTAGAGATAAGCTTGTATTTGAGGTGAGGGGCTTTGCTGCAGAGAAGTCCTTCTCAGGGAACAATTATGTCTAAAATCCAGAATTTAGTCATCTGAAAAAGGGTTTGTGACTGTACCTGAACTATCCTTTTACTTCTTCATAGAGCCTGTCAGGTAGTAAGTCAGTTGCTCTGATAGCTAGAGAAAAGAGATTTCTTCTTACAGCACAGGAGAGCTAGAAAGTAGTGTTGTCAGCCATCTAATCAAGTTGTTTTTTCCTCTCATACTCTAGGTCACTGAAGTTCAGACAGTACAGCTTTCTTTCTCCTCTAAACTCCATTTTGTTGCTTTGTGGAGGTTGACTGTAAGACTGTCTAATCCATCCTATAATATTCAGCGCCAGTGATTGTTTGTGGCTTTTGTGCAACAGCTGTTCCAGCCCTTATCTTGACATCCCAAGCAAATTTTCACCCCTCTGAGGAGCACTGTGTCAATATTAAAATGCCTTTGATAACTAGAAATGCTCTTCCTTGGTCATCAGCTCTCATAAACTGTCCTGTTTGTGCTATTTCATAGCAAACAAGCTCATTCTAGTAGAGGCCACATTAACTATCTTTGTGAAGGATGCTTGAGCCTCTGATGCCACGATGGGAGTCTCATGGCAGTTATGCCTCGCATCAAATCTGGTCATCCAAAAGCCTCTTTCCTGTAGTAACAGGCATTGCTGCTTCTTTCTTGCTCTTAGACGTAAGAGCAAAGTGACATCACGTTGCCAGTTCCTGAAGCACAGATGTTTCAGTAGACTGTTTGGCATATGTTCAGTACCTGAGGTCTGTAGGTCTCCTGCCTGAGCTGGAAAACATTGCTGAGAGCCTTATCATCTGACGGGGTTGTGATGTCTGATCGATATATCCTGACCCAGCTATGGGTAGTCCGTATGCCAACTCATGTTTCTTCACTGGAGCATGCGGAGTGTGTGTGTGTGCCATGTTGTTCCATCTATCACCTTATTGATCTTGTTAAGTGTTTATGCTGTTGCTAAAGACAGTCTTGCTGGGACAGGTTGTACAATAGAGGCTTCCATACCTCTAGAGATCTATGAAGACCTTTGATTGTGCCAGTTGGCTGCTACTACATAGGATTGAGAAAGCCATACTCTGATAATGAACTTTAAATTGGTGTGTGGAACATCAGTGCTTAACAGAAATTGTGTGTTGGAAGAGTAACCGTGGTGATTAAAATGTTCTGATTCTTTTCTTGCTTGTAGTTCTGGTTTATTTAAAGAGTATCAGTAATAAAAATCATGTAAATGCCCGCCTTTCTCTGTTAGTTATAGCATCTAACATTGAAAAGAAGTGTCTGTGAAGAAAATGCTCTACTTGTGTACAGTGTACATCAACAAAATTTACTCTTTGTTGCATTTTGCACCTTTAGATAATAAAACCATGCATACCATTTTTTCTTAAACTTTTTGCTTCCAGGCATAATTGTGTTGTCTTTGAGTTCAGAAATTTCCATCACCACTTCCAAATGAAGGCAGTAGTCCTGTTGGGATACAGTTTTTGCTTGTAGTGTAGTGAGCTGTTAGACAGTTGCTATGCTCCTTTCTGAAGTTTTAGGGGTAGGTTAAGTTACTTCTCTATAAATGCCACTTGGAAAGTACTTTGGGTCTGTTTGTTTTGTTTAAAAAATTGTTCTTGACTATTGCTAAATTTAATTCCTAGCTTCAAAGATGGTATCTTGTATCAAATTCTTGTTTAAAATAGAATAAATCCTGCATGTCTTCTTGTATTTATACATCAGGGCTCTGGTTTCATAAGCAATGAAATGGGTGTACAAGGTCACCTGACAATCCACTTGCATCAGCTGAAAGCCAAATTTTTGGAAGTAGCTCAGCTGTTGCTCCTGACATTAAGCCCACAGAGACTTTAGCACTGAGCACCTAACACTATTTGGACTTCTCAGTAAATAGTCTCAATAAATTATTGAGATGCTTAAGAAGAACTAATCATCTATTAAAGTAATTTTGGAAGAATGCCTCAATTCTAGACTGGACAGTAGTGTGTTGAGTACACCCAGCCTGGCACTGGGACAGGGTGCCTGCTTAGAAACCAGTCGTGGAGTGATTGCACAGAGTACTAAAAGTAATAAAGGATCCTTTTGAGCTTGTTCTGAATTTAAAAAAATTCCGTTCCAGTCCAACTGTTTGTGGTTAGGAGTTTACACTATAGAGCATTGATTTTGTAAAATTATAAGTGCCACTGTAATTTTATGCACAAATG